ATAGCGTACGCGCGAGCCTGAGCGGTAGACTTCCGGGCCCATTCGCAGCCGACCGGCAAAAGTTCAAAGCGAGGTCCCGAAAATCTGTCGACAACGCTTCGCGGAAGGAAGCTGCGGAAGGCGGAAGCAGAAATGGCGATGGCCAAGACTCCCGGAAGCTCCTTGGAAGGCCGTCGCGGAAGGTGGTTGATATGGTAATGAAACCATGTGGTAATGTGATGGCTTCCTAGCAAGGCAAAAAGCATGTACTTATTTACTAAATGAAGGCTGCGCGGGTATAATTTCTGCGCTGTTTAGACTGGCTTTAATCATTTTCGAGATATCATCCCTTGTTGATTATTTGGCGCATATCGTTACTGCCAGTAAAGTGAGGAGAAGAGAAAGATACAGCAGAAGAGTTCCAGGAGTATGATCAGAAACATGGTAGGATCCACGAACTTGAGCTGTCAGGCGTCTCGAACGAAATCGAACGAAGTTTGCCTACGCCAGTCGTGTGAGGCTTCTCACAACCCCCTACCCCTCGCGCACGGCCAGCCCTCTCCACCCGTTCCTTCCCCCCCTGTCCCCTTCCCCACTCCGCCCCGCCTCAAAGTAATTACCCAACAAATCTGAACACCCAACAAACCACACAATTAGCCTGGAGCATGCACCTGCGGTTGCATCATCCTGCAAAACGACGTGCAGGCAGTAGCTCTGCAGACAACGCGCAGGAGGCTTAGAATTTACCTGGAGCATTCCTATTTCGAATGCAGGGCTTGGATGCTTCTTGTCTTGAGCATTTCACGCAGCTTCGAGCACGTGCTACCATGAAGCTACAGACGAATACATTTGAAGTCAAACCGGTTTGATAAAAGACATGGGAGTGGAGGTTTTCGCAAAGGATTCCGCGGGTTGAGGGATGCTCGCACTTCATGGCACGGCTCGGCTACCCCGGGCTCCGAAAAACATCACCTTCATCTTTCCTCATCTCTTAGCCTTATCTCTGTAAGCCGGTCAAAAGCTGTGTCAGCTCCAAAAGCACGCGTCTACTAGGGCGTGCTGAGAGAACATGCCATGGCAGGATTTCGAGTGGGCAGGTTGAAGGAAGCCCAGTGGCAGGCAGGTATGAATTCGGCAAAATACACTGTCCAATGTCCGTTGATTGAACCGCACTTTGAAGCGGAAAAACAACCAGCAATAGTCAACAACTGTAGGCCTGCGCGGCTTGCACAATAAGTTTGGGTTTGTTCTGCAGGGCTCGTGTTTCCAGAAAAATGTGGCAAGAGATTACAGTTCAACACATTGAGGCGAAAGGTTGCTTCTGCCCGTGAAGCCTTGAGTTTTTTTAACTGTAGCTAGAACTTGATCATGCTTGTCCAGGCGATGCTGTTGGCGTGGAAGAGGGGTGGAAATGTTCTTGATGCAGGAGGGACTGCTATAGACTGTTGGAGGCCGTTTGAGCAGGAAAGCTGCGCTTAAAATTTTCTCTTGAGATAACAACAGTCGCTCGCCTACAAAAAGCAACACAGAAAGGGCCAGAAAAGTTTGTCGCGTCAATTGAGGATGATGGAGACAGCAGTGCTTGAGAAGACCATCATCAAGCCGCTTGGATCGCAGGCGTTTCCATTACTTAGTGACTAAGTGTGACTTCGTAGTACAGTACTGTAGTGTTGAAGGAAGGTTACGTAAAGCAGCTTTTGAACTCAGACCTTTTGTGCAAGTAGAGATGCTTCCCAAGCAGGTCGGCATGCACGCGTTGAATGGTGCAATCTAGCTATATTAAATGATTTAGAAGGACTACATTCATGGTTCTGAAGCGACTGCACCAAGACGAGAAGTTATAAAATTCCCGGGAAGACAGTTGCAACTCAGATTGGACTGCGTGTCGGCTCTGCAGACAGCGATTTGAAGCCCTGAAACCGGGGCCTGCCCAACCTGAAGAGGACAGACTGCCCTTGCCTCTACGCTCGCTTCAAGCAGCAGTTGGCGCAATTTTGGTAGCTGTCCGCAACAACTTACATCAACTTACCATACTTTTCAGCTTCTGACCGTATCTGATTGTTCAGTGCCGAAAGGCGGGAGCTTCGATGACCAGACTCGGCAAAGAGAAAACATCAAAATCAAAGGGCAGAGTTCTTAGATGCGAGATCAGGCTGGGCTCGCTGCTCGCCCTCGGATTTGGGGAGGTGCCAACCCGTAAGGCACTGCAGTGACTTTATCACGGACTGGTTTCAGGCAGGCGCAAGCATCGTCGCGGACAACATGCAGGGTCTGGACTCTGCCGGTGTCAATGCCATGGTTCCAGGCCGGAGTGGCCAAGATTTGCCAAGTTGGTGCAGCTGCGCCAATGTGTGAAGAAAAGTTGGCAGGCAGCAGGGTGGACTGCATCATTGGTTCGGCCTGCATTCGAGACTTCAGTACCGCCACGGAAGTCCTGCAGGGCAAGGCCTGGTTCATGACCCTGAACGTATGTTGCAGTTGCAGTCTTTAACGTCAGTCGAGAATCTGGATTTAATTATTTTGGATGCATGCTTTGAGCACAGAGTGAGCTGAGATGCACGTCATTCAGCTCGGCTAAACTGACTGGCACCCTATCCTGAAGCTGTGTATGAGTTGCGTTGTCCATTATGATATGTTGTGATGGGCTGGTAAGAGTCCTGCCGCACAACGTCTTGCGGCAAAAAAGAACAGCCTGAAGTTGAAGTCTGCTCAGCTAGATCCTTGCATTTGCTGTAGCGAGAACCAGTTTCCAGGACCGTGTCATTCTGCATGCTAGCTTCATGACCTACTCTTCTCACGTGATGAGAGTACTGCGCTGAGAGCATGTTGATAGGACCGAAGTAACATTGTGAAGGATGGTCGAGCTAGATACGCATCTTCATCGACTTAAATGTTGGAATTCAATAGTTGCATAATCAAGCTCAGAGCATGGCTTCTCGCGTAGCACACAAAACCTTTTCTGCACAGCTGCAGAATCCTGACAGCTGACGAATGCTGAAGATTGTAATCATTAGACAGCCAAGCGGCCAAGCGGAAAGCGTTCTGAGATCATCAGTCTCCGTGTACCTAGATTTCTTCTTCGTGAGCCCGGGCTGGCTCTGCCATCTTCGCAGCTTTACAGAGACTCTTCTACTCAATTTGTGATGACGGCCCGAAAACATCTTCTACAAGTTGCCCTGGTGCTCTATGTGCAAAACCATCGGCTTTCCTGCGGCACATACCGCATACAGTAACTCCAAGATTAGGTTCAGACCATCCAGGCACAAGCAGCCTGCTTGCATGACAAGTGTTCAGCAATTAGCCGAGATCTGTTCTGGTGTGTGCAGAGGAGCGGCAAAGGTCTAACATGCTATATCACTGGCAGGTCATGACTTTTGTCAATCAGATTGCAGAGATTGCCGCAGACCGAGCGATTCTCTAGCACACTGACAGACGTCAACTCAGTGTGTCATGCCGTGTCTCACTGACATGGACGCCACCAAGGTCCACGGCCTCGTTTGCGAGTTCCATGGGGCTCCCAACAAAAACACGGGTGCCTTGGCTGAGAGAGGAGTACTGGCCCAGCGCCCTGCAGTAGCATCGGAGCACCGACGATTGTTGCCAGGTGATCGGTTCCTGCTAATATGGCGACTCGGAGGCTTGGGTAATTGTGCTTTGACAAAAGAAAGATAGACTCACGAACAGCACGAACAGCAGGCCTAAGCTATGAGCAGCAAACCCGGCTGGCGGACATGGCTGTGGTGTCCTGCGTCAGGAGGGCCCTCGAAATTGTTTGCCATCATACGGAGTCATGTGTCATCATTGTTATTCAAGGTCTGAACCTGCTTCTGTACGCTTATTGCAAGCTTGCAGGATTTTGGGCTGTACACACAGCAACAAGACCCTCGCCGAGTATCGTGGTCACCCTGGTCTTGCCCTGAGTTAACGGCAGATTGCTTAGTGAATTGTCAGCCCCAGGTTTCTGTGAGGGTTTCAAACTGGCATGTTGTGTCAACTGCTGAAACCTCACAGCATGAGAGGCAGGGCTTAAGGTCGTTGCGGCCAAGGCAACTCCTGACTGAAGGGGCGCTGCTCAGAGATGAGTGATTGCTGATCTGAGGCCTAATACAAAGGCTCGGAGCTCACTGCAGAGTTAACTTGAGCTTTGGTCTTCACCGTGGGTGGGCCATCGAGGCAGGATCGGACCGGCTGGGACATGTTTGCTTGAAAGCGTTTTGAGGTTTCGGGGTTTCTCAGCAAGATCTCTATAGCATGAGCAGCTGGATGAATATATGGGAAAGTACACTACCCGCAGCCCTCAATTTCAGAAATATCAATGGTACATGGGACGGCGAAATGCTGAAATCCATGTTCACGGCATATAGCATCTGCAAATGTGTGACCGTACATGTATCTGGAAGTACATGAATCAATGAAGTCAACATCTCATTCAAGAATTCGACTCCTAAACACTAGCGTGTCAACATGTCGGCAAGCTTTGAAATATTGAGGTTCGAGATTTGGAATCCAAGGGTCCCTGGACTCTGTCCTGGAATCTCTGATTCTCATGTTCGAATGTTTTCGAAACATTCAAGTTCAACACTTTAACGCTAACTCATAACGTGGTATATTAACTAAGTGACGCATAAGTGTCATCCCTCATGAGTTCCCCGATGAGAACCCCTACTAAGGATCATGAGTGAGGACCGTTGCGCGGCTGTCATATAGGTATCTCTAGAGGGAATACTGAAAGAAGCCCTTTCTTCCTAACGAGCAACCCTGTAGGGGAACTCCCATGCGGACCACGAACCAAAGCACGATCCCTGACAAGATCTCATAGAGGCATCCCTAACTGATGAGAGGCTTTCATGAGGCGTCGCACTTGCGGTCCCTAGCAAAGCTTCATTATCAGTAGCAGTTCTTAACACACCAAATTAAGGATCTCTGATAAGAACCTCGCACACTTTCAAGCAGGATCCCACACGAACATATTTGTATCCCAAATTGGGACGGCTACTTATTCCCAATGAACATTCCCCCTTTAAACCTCCTGGTAAGGGCTGCCAGCAAAGGTCGTAAGAAGCAAATCTGACTGGTGTTCTCAGAGAAACTCCCAACAACGAGTTTTCATCGGGAACCCCTGCAATCCCCTGTAGAGTTTTAACACAAAACTTCCAATAAAGACCACTATTAGGCAGTCTGGCATAGCCAGAGTGTTGTACTGTACGAAGATTCTGTTGTAACAAGAGCCCACACAGACTTTTTAAACTTCAGAGATCCTGCAGACGTCTAAAGTACGAATCCCTGGAAAGAGTAGTAGGTTTTTTTGTGGATCCTCAATGCGAGTATTTATTGAGGGGTTGCAGCACTTGCAGCTGACATCAGCTGACAGCAGGATCGATGAAGTCCAGAAGTACCCAGCTATATAAAAGCCCAACTTCTCACAATTGCAGAATTGTCCCGACATGTGTGAGTCAAGTCTCTTTTGCAATCTGTGCGAGCTTGCGTTTCGCAGGGTGCCGTAGGCAGCGAGTTCAAGATAGATGCGCAGCACCCCTGGCTGTTCACATGGCCATAAAGAATTGTCAGCGCATTGTGTTTCGGATTGTTTAGCGTATGGTGTCCGAGTCGCCCAAGCAGAGCATTTTCCGTTGTCAACGCAGACTCAGCTTGTGCTTTCGGGGCGTTGGACACGGATAAGCGCAAAGATGCGCTGCCGTGCTCCCTTGCAAAGCACAAATTTGCAGCAACCAGCACTGCTTCTTGTTACTCTTGTTCATCTTGAGTGTTAATTACGGGTCAACTTACCCTCAAAGCGCCTAAGGCGCCAAGCTTTCAAACTGGTAGCTCGACCAGGATGTACTCTTCAGGGAAAGGTTGCAACTCTATGGTGGTTTTGTTCCTTCAACGTGTAATTAACCTACTATTGACGTTTGCTGTGACCTGACAGCTAATGCTACAACTACAACTTCATCTTCTTGGATCCGGTCTTCACTCCCCTCCACCTCCTCCTCTTGCCGTTTTTGCTGGCAATGATGAGCAAATCAGTACTGATATGGCAACGGCATCAACAACAGACAAGAAAAGAAGAGGAAGAGCACCAGCAAGAGCAGCAGCTGTAGTGGCGGCGGCAACGACAGCAACATTTGCAAGCCACAACCACTAATCAAAACAACCACTACCAGTAGCAGCAAGAGGAGGAGGAGTACTAGGTGGTGGTGGTGGTAGTAGTAGTTGTTGTTGTTGTTGTGGTGGTGGTGGTGGTTATAGCAGCAGCAGCAGCAGCAGCAGGAGGAGGAGGAGGAGGAGTAGTAGTAGTAGTAGTTGTTGTTGTTGTTGTCGTGGTGGTGGTGGTGGTGGTGGTGGTGGTGGTGGTGGTGGTGGTGGCGGTGGTGGTAGCAGCAGCAGCAGCAGGAGCAGGAGGAGGAGGAGGAGTAGTAGTAGTAGTGGTAGTGGTAGTGGTAGTGGTAGTGGTGGTGGTTATGGTAGTAGTTATAGTAGTCGTAGTCGTAGTCGTAGCAGCAGTCTACTGGCTACTACCAGGTGACCGCTACATAATTCACGGTAGTGTTTTTTCCTCGCTTCATGTGCGTTTTGCAGTGGTGTCGGACAGAATTTGGATTTTCTCGGGGGGCAGCTAAAACGCATCTTCCTCATCAGTCCAAGATTCGGGCCAGTAGCCC